GAAGGGACACAGGAGACTGTCCACTCCTCCTCTAAGCAGAAAAAAGGTAAAAAAAAAACAAACCCCAAAGAATAAAACTAAAATATTCCTGTCTAGCAAAGCACCCACCATGTCCCAACTGGACTGTCCCCTATTGACTATGCTACGGATTATCCTTTGTAGCCCCGCAAGCAGTGCCAGTTTGCATGGAACGGAGTTCTCCAAGCATCTCGCTTTGGTCTCTGTCGAGAATTCAGTCTTTCCTCCTCAAAGTCTGCTTTGGGGATCTTTGGATGGCGCTGGTGCCAAGGGGCCTCGCTAGGAGAGGTTCCACTCCAAAGAAAGAGCCTTATCATGAGTGAGCCGAGTCAAACAGTTACCGCCAACTTCTTTGCTTCTTGTTTCACCGAGTACCAAATCTGGTTGGGAAATTTGGGACCAAGGATGATGTTTTCCAATCGCTTTCCCTCCCGTGGGGGTCTGATACCCTGCGTAATATTAGCAAGAACAAATGGCTGGAGAAACGCACAAGACAGGATACAGAGATGAGCAAGCGAGATAGACTGGGGAGCAATTAGACCCACAGAGAGAGAGAGAGAGAGAGAGAGAAAGAGAGAGGCAAGTCGGCCTTTTGTCCTTGCTCTGTCTTTAGGGCTCAGGATTGCTGACAAGCAAAGAGGCACCGGTAGGTCTTCCCAGCCCACTCATGATTGAATCAAATGCTCAATTAGACCAATGGGGGACTTTGCTTATCTGTAAATGGATCTCGGTTCAATAAGGTAATGGCTGACCCTCCCTCCTCTAACCGGAGGAAGTGGAGCTTCTTGAGAGAGGTGGGTGCAAAAGCAAAGAGTTAACATTTCTCATGGAAGTTGAGCTAGAGTTTGCAGCAGGTAACAAAAGCAGAGTCGATATCCAACCTCAAGGGGCAGGCTGTGCTTGTGGTATAGTAAGAGTCGTAATCCTTGGTGGAACATTTCCGATTTCTCCCTTTTGGTTTGTGCTCATCATCGTGGTAGCTTTGAAACATACAATGGAGCCCCCAGTGACGCAATGGGTTAAACCAGAGGTCCACAAACTTTTTAAGCAGAGGGCCAGGTCACAGTCCCTCAAACTGTTGGAGGGCCGGATTATAATTTCAAAAAAAAAATGAATGAATTCCTATGCACACTACACATATCTTATTTGTAGTGCAAAAAAACACTTTAAAGCAATATAATAATTAAAATGTATTGTCGAAGGCTTTCATGGGTTGTTGTAGGTTTTTCCGGGCTATATGGCCATGTTCTGGAGGCAATTTTTCTCCTGACGTTTCGCCTGCATCTATGGCAAGCATCCTCAGAGGTAATGAGGTCTGTTGGAACTAGGAAATCAAGGTGATCAGCTGAAACATTCACAGCTAGCCCCAGCAAACAAAAGTCCTTTGTCTCACCCTGGTCATTCCACAGATATATAAACCCATTTTTCCTACTTCCAACAGACCTCACTACCTCTGAGGATGCTTGCCATAGATGCAGGCGAAACGTCAGGAGAAAAATTGCCTCCAGAACATGGCCATATAGCCCGGAAAAACCTACAACAACCCAATAATAAATGTTATATAAATATAAGCTTATTAGTATTTCAATGGGAAGTGTGGGCCTGCTTTTGGCTGATGAGATAGGATTGTTGTTGTTGTGTGCTTTCAAGTAGTTTCGGACTTAGTTAGACCCTGAGCGAGGGCCGGGTAAATGACCTTGGAGGGCCGTATCCGGCCCCCGGGCCTTAGTTTGAGGACCCCTGGGTTAAACCCTTGTGTCGGATGAATTGGTTGACTGACAGGTTGGCAGTTCAAATCTGGGGAGCAGGGCAAGCTCCCATCTGTTGAGCTTTAGCTTCTCATGCGGGGACATGAGAGAAGCCTCCCACAGGGTGGTAAAACATCAGACATTCGGGCGTTCCCTGGGCAACATGCTTGTAGATAGACAATTTTCTCACACCAGAAGCAACTTGCAGTTTCTCAAGTCACTCTTGATGGGGAAAAGTTTGAATCGAGGGAGCAGAGGGAGCTCCCCGTCTGTCAGCTCCAGCTTCTCATGCGGGGACATGAGAGAAGCCTCCCACAGGATGGTAAAACATCCGGGCGTCCCCTGGGCATCACCCTTGCAGATGGGCAATTCTCTCACACCAGAAGCGACTTGCAGTTTCTCAAGTCGCTCCTGACACAAGAAAAAAAGTCTCTTTTAAGAGAGAAAAAATGGTATATCAATAAATATAAAAAAGAAATATAAAAATAATAATACAGTTCTCTCACACCAGAAGCGACTTGCAGTTTCTCAAGTCACTCCTAAGATGAAAAAAATATATGCAATGAGGTTTGAATCGAGGGAGCCGAGTGAGCTCCCTGTCTATCAGCTCCAGCTTCTCATATGGGGACATGAGAGAAGCCTCACACAGGATGGTAAAACATCCGGGTGTCCCCTGGGCATCACCCTTGCAGACGGGCAATTCTCTCACACCAGAAGCGACTTGCAGTTTCTCAAGTCACTCCTGAGATGAAAAAAATATATGCAATTCAGTTTGAATTGAGGGAGCGGAGTGAGTTCCCTGTCTGTCAGTTCCAGCTTCTCATATGGGGACATGAGGGAAACCTCCCACAGGATGGTAAAACATCCGGGCGTCCCCTGGGCATCACCCTTGCAGACGGGCAATTCTCACACACCAGAAGCGACTTGCAGTTTCTCAAGTCACTCCTGACACAAGAAAAAAGTCTCTTTTATGAGAGAAAAAGTGGGATACCAATAAATATAAAAATAAATATAAAATAATAATACAATCCACCCAGGTCTGGGAGCTGTCTGTCTAAGGCAGGGGTCCTCAAACTTTTTAAGCAGAGGGCCAGGTCACAGTCCCTCAAACTGTTAGAGGGCTGGATTATGATTTGGAAAAAAAAATGAATGAATTCCTATGCACACTGCATCTTATGTGTAGTTCAAAAATGCTTAAAAATAATACAATAATTAAAATGAAGAACAATTTTAACAAATATAAACTTAGTATTTCAGTGGGAACTGTGGGCCTGTTTTTGGCTGATGAGATAGGATTGTTGTTGTTGTGTGCTTTCAAGTCGTTTCAGACTTAGGTTGAGCCTGAGCGAGGGCCAGGGAAATGACCTTGGAGAGCCGTATCCGGCCCCCAGGCCATAGTTTCAGGACCTCTGGTCTGAGGCTTGGAATGGGAACTGTTCAGTTTCTTGACTAGTTGAATTTGGAGTTTCTGATCCCTCGAGAAATCTTTGGCCAGGAGAAAAATGGCAAGTTGAGAACTCCCACAACTTCCTTTTTTGTCCCCAAGATAACTACACCTGCTTTGAAAACTGTACAGCAGTTTACTGTAAAAAAGCTGTACTCGCCGGTATGCACAGAAATTTATTAAATTTTGCATGAGGTTAATTTTTAGCTGTGTTTACCTGAGATTAACTGCTTTAAGAGTTGGGATTATTATTATTATTGCTATACTAGGGCCCCCAGTGGGTTAAATGGCTGAGCTGCTGAACTTGCTGACCGAAAAATCTGCAGTTCAAATCCAGGGAGCGGGGTGAGCTCCCGCTGTTAGCCCCAGCTTCTGCCAACCTAGCAGTTTGAAAACATGCAAATGTGAGTAGATCAATAGGTACCGCTCCGGCAGGGTAACAGCGCTCCATGCAGCCATTCCAGTGGCCACGTGACCTTGGAGGTGTCTACGGATAACGCCGGCTCTTCAGCTTAGAAATGGAGATGAGCAGCACCCCCAAGAGTCAGATACAACTAGATTTAATGCCAAGGGGAAGCGTTTACCTTTTTTTACAGCAGTTTGCTTTTAAAAAAACTGTACCTATCACTATGCACAGAAAATTTTGAACTTCTTCACGAAGTGAATTTTTGGCCGTGTTTACCTGAGAGAAACTACATTGGGAATTGGGATCATTATTGGGATAAGAATTGGGGTTATTATTACTGCTATTATTATTATGGCTGGGTTTACCTGAGACAAACTACCCTGGGAATTGGAATAGTTATTGGGATAGGAATTGGGGTTATTATTACTGCTATTATTATTATTATTATTATTATTATTATTATTATTATTATTATTATTATGTCATCCCACAGTGGCAGGATGCCTCTGGTGGCGCAGTGGGTTAAACCCCTGTGCCGGCAGGACTGAAGACTGACAGGTTGCAGGTTCGAATCTGGGGAGAGGCGGATGAGCTCCCTCTATCAACTCCAGCTCCTCATGCGGAGACATGAGAGAAGCCTCCCACAAGGATGATAAAAACATCAATTCATCCAGGCGTCCCCTGGGCAACATCTTTGCAGACGGCCAAGTCTCTCACACCAGAAGCGACTTGGAGCTTCTCAAGTCGCTCCTGACATGACAAATAATAATAATAATAATAATAATAATAATAATAATAATAACATGCGCCACGCATTGGATTAGGTTTAAGAATGATCTTGGTTCTCTAGCAATTATGGAGTAAACAGGAGAGGAAGGACTGCGTTGTTCGCTCAGTGCAAACTCTCTGACGGGTGCATTCACACTGCACAATTTATAGCACTTTGATCCCAGTTTTATGGAAATCTTGGATTTGTAATCTGCAAGGGATTCTTTTGACTTGTAATATGAGTACTAGTAGAGAAGCCTAAACGTCTCACCAAACAAGCCCCAAGATTTCAATAACGTGGGATGCAAATAATAGAACCGTGTCGTGTGGATCCACCCTGATCAGTTTAAGACTTCCACTGCCCTTTGCGCTTGAGCTTTTAAAGAAAAGCTCCACCCGACCACTCCACGGGGCTGTTTTGAAACATGTCTCTTTGCTCCTTGAGGAGTCCCTGCTCGTCGGAGGTGGTTTGGATTCACTGGGTTCTCTCCCTGCGATAATGCCCTCCCCCTTGACCACCCCCAAAGAGGCACCCCATATCCCGAGAGAAGCGTGAGGGAAATCAAAGAGCGTGATGGACAGCTGCAGCCACACAGAATACCGACAGAGCTTTTACCTGGCCCTGCATTCTGCGGGTATGCCATGTAGCTGCCTCTTCCACGGCCCCCCCTACCTGATCCTCTTGCTGCTGCCACCGCCGCGGCTGCTACTGGTCCATAGGCTGCTGCTGGAAAACCTGGCCGTAGGGAGAAAGGAGACGGGTCAGACGGCATGCAAGACAGGGCCGAGACAACAGAGGCAAGGACGGGCACAGGCAGGCACAACTCCCTATAGGACACTAAACGGTAGCTTCAGGGGTTCCAGCATATGGGAGAGGGCTTCCTTAATGTGGAAGAGCCTCCCTCTAGACCAGTGGTTCTCAACCTGGGGTCCCCAGATGGTTTTGGCCTACAACTCCCCAAAATCCCAGCTGTTAGGATTTCTGGGAGTTGAAGGCCAAAAACATCTGGGGACCCCAGGTTGAGAACCACTGTTCTAGACCTCTCAAACCTAGAACACAACCACAACCCTCCCCTTGCTTTGGATGCAAGAAATGGATCCACCTGCATGAAAGGGAAGAGTCAATTTCAGAAATGTAGGTTTCTCAGGTTGAGAACCACTGGTTGTTGTAGGTTTTTTCGGGCTATATGGCCATGTTCTAGAGGCATTTTCTCCTGACGTTTCGCCTGCATCTATGGCAAGCATCCTCAGAGGTAGTGAGGTCTGTTGGAACTAGGAAAATGGGTTTATATATCTGTGGAATGACCAGGGTGGGACAAAGAACTCTTGTCTGTTGGAGCTAGGTGTGAATGTTTCAACTGACCACCTTGATTAGCATTTGATGGCCTGGCAGTGCCTGGGGCAATATTTTGTTGAGAGGTGATTAGATGTGCCTGATTGTTTCCCCTCTGTTGTTTTGCTGTTGTAATTTTAGAGTTTTTTAATACTAAAGTGTCCCCCCCCCCCCCCCCCCCGGTCATTCCACAGATATAAACCCATTTTCCTAGTTCAACAGACCTCACTACCTCTGAGGATGATTGCTATATGGGCGGGCCCTAGGTAATTTTCAACAGTAAGCAAACTGTATTTTGCCCCCCCCCCCCAACCAATCATTGATATATATTTTCTGTTCGTCGTGGGAGTTCTGTGTGCCATATTTGGTTCAATTCCATCATTGGTGGAGTTCAGAATGCTCTTTGATTGTAGATGAACTATACATCCCATTAACTACACTTGCCGCACTTCCTCCCTTGCTTGGCCCGCTTTGGGTCTGGAGGCGTGCCTGAAGACCCCGGCGTGTGCACCAAAAGTCACCTCTTCTCCTTACTTTCTCCTCAGCCATTGGGACCGAGAGAGAGAGAGAGAGAGAGAGAGGTGGAGATGCCCACCTTTCCTGAAGGTAGGCGCAAAAACAAAGGAGGGAGCGGAGGTGGGAGATACCTCCAGCCGGAGGGGCCCTCTCTCTCTCTCTCTCGGTCCCAATGGCTGAAGAGAAAGTCAGGAGAAGAGGCAACTTTTGGTGCACACGCTGGGGTCTTCAGACACGCCTCCGGACCTGAAGCAGGCAAGACGCGGCGGCTCCGCCCCTTGGCCCACCCGCGGATTGGGGAGAGGAGAGGAGGCGGGTGGAGCGCCGGGGGATCGGGAAAGGGAGCCGGTCATGGGGAAGGGATCGAATGCAGAGAATGATTGAGCACTGGCTCTGCTCGCGCACACGGTGGCCGGGTGGAGCAGGAACGAGAGGGGCGTGGCGAGGCTCAAGGGCCCGGCCCCTTTGGGAAGAGGATCGCCCGGCAGCGAGGCAAGAAAGCCGAGGCTCCCCCGGACTGCTAGGGCTGTTGTGAGCTGAGGGGGCGCTCCTCAAGTGGCGGTCGAGGGGCATTTACAGAGGCGCCTCTGCACCCCTGGCAAAAAAAAGTGTTCTGCGACCGCTTACTTCGCGTAATGGATGAGCCGCCCCTGCCATAGATGCAGGTGAAACGTCAGGAGAAAGTGCCTCTAGAACATGGCCATATAGCCCGAAAAAAACCTACAACAACCCAGTGATTCCGGCCATGAAAGCCTTCGACAATACATTTTCCATTGTTGTTTTGCGGGAAAATGGCATGTCGAACAGATCACCGGACAGGCCCTAGCTATAGTGACACAAGGGACGGGTGGAAATATTTCCTGCCCCATGGCAGGCTTTGACAAGGGATGCTGCCTAAAATGCTTCAGCTCAGGAATGAACTTCATTTCTAGGCCCACATAACATTCTGCTGAAAATGAATGGGGTTTTTTTAAGCCCTCCGTGCAGAATTCTAGTTTGGATTAAATTCTGAACCAAAGAAAACAATCTTTGTCCTGGGAAAAACAGAATGGGAGATATTTGTCAGGCTCTTGAACAGGCCCACAAAAGTAACTTTAATTCTTCTGATTTCTTCCCAATAATGTGGTAATGTTCATGTTACCGTATATACTCAAAGATAAGCCAAGTTTTAGTCCTTTTTTGAGCAAAAAAAAAGCCTCCTTTGGCTTATAATGGGGTCAAGCGGACCCTTCCAATATATGATATATTTCTCTCTCCTCTTCCCCTCCCTAAACGGTGTGTTTTCTTTTCCAGTCAAAAGGGAGGGAAGGAGGGAAAAGAGATATATTTCATGTCCTCCTTGTTTGTATGGCTCTCTTTCAAACCTACCCAATTTTCAGGCTTTTTTGTGTGCATGTAAATGTATTAACTTTATATGTGCATTTTTGTTCCCTTGGAAGTATTCCCTGGCCTTTGCAAGCCCCATAGATCTATAAATATGTTTCTATATATGCATGTTTCTGCTGAAGTCTTTGCAAACCATATGTATCCATTAATCGTATAAAAGCATTTTCCCCTGAAATATTTGTTAATCTCTCCTACAGATATATAGGCATTTCCCCCTGCAAGCGTTTGCAATCCCTATGCACCTATATATCTCTATCTATCTATCTACCTATTTACACTAATTTATATGTGAATTTTCTCCTCATATGTTTGCAGGACTTTGCAAATCCTATATACATATAGATATCTAGAGATTTCCATGTATCTGTATATCTGTATCTATATTTATACATTATTTTTATATATGAATTTTCCCATCAAGTATTTGCAAGTCTCTGCAAGTCGTATATAGATATTGATAAATATATAGAGGTACCTATATATCTGTATAACTGTGGGTGTATATGTGTATATATATAGAAATAATTTTACATATGAATTTTCCCCTCACATACTTGCAAGTCTCTGCAAATCTTATATATAGACACCGATAAATATATGGAGGTACCTATATATCTGTATATCTCTCTGTGTGTATGTGTATAAATATGTGTGTGTCTATATATATATATATATATATATATAATTTTATATATGAATTTTCCCCTCATGTTTGAAAGTCTCTGCAAATCCTTTATAGATATAGATAAATATCTAGGTTCCTATATACCTGTATATCTGTGTGCATGTGTATGCCTATGTGTATATATATAAAAATACTTTTATATATGGATTTTCCCCTCACATGTTTGCAAGTCTTTGCAAATCCAATATAGATTAAAATTATCTATATAGAGAGAGATGTCTAGATCAATATATATGAATATAGATATATAGGGCTCGCAAATATTGCAGGAGGTACCTATATATCTGTATATATCTCTGTGTGTATGTGTATAAATATGTGTGTGTGTCTGTGTATATATAAATAATTTTACATATGAATTTTTCTCTCACGTTTGAAAGTCTGCAGATTCTTTATAGATATAGATAAATATCTAGGTTCCTATATACCTGTATATCTGTGTGCATGTGTATATATATAAAAATACTTTTATATATGGATTTTCCCCTCACATGTTTGCAAGTCTTTGCAAATCCAATATAGATTAAAATTATCTATATAGAGAGAGATGTCTAGATCAATATATATGAATATAGATATATAGGGCAGGAGGGAAATGCACATATATTGAGAGAGGATTTGCAAACTTTTCAGGGGGAAATGCATATGCGAAATTAGTATATATAATTATAGATCTATATAGAGCTCTGCATTACATGGAATGTTTGCCTGTTACTATGTTGGAAGCCGGCCTGAGTCCCCATGGGGAGATAGGGCAGGATACAACTGAATTTCTATTGTTACTACTACTACCACCACCACCACCACTACCACTAGAATCATAGAATCATAGAATCAAAGAGTTGGAAGAGACCTCATGGGCCATCCAGTCCAACCCCATTCTGCCAAGAAGCAGGAATATTGCATTCAAATCACCCCTGACAAAAGCTTCCAAAGAAAGGAACCTCCACCACACTCCGGGGCAGAGAGTTCCACTGCTGAACGGCTCTCACTACTACTACTACTACTACTACTACTATTATTATTATTATTATTATTATTATTATTATGTTATTGTTGATACCATATTGTTTTTATTGACCCTACCTTTCCACTTATAGATCTAGTTTACAGTGTTTCTTTGAAATATGGTAAATATTCAAAAATATTTAACTTACTGATGCCTCAATGAATGTAATTTTATTGCTATCTAATTTTATTTTGAATTTTACCAGTAGCTGCTGCTTTTCCCACCCTTGGCTTATACTTGAGTCAATAAGTTTACCCAGTTTTTTGTGGCAAAATGAGGTGCCTCAGCTTATATTTGGGTCAGCTTATACTTGAGTATATCCGGTAATTTGAAGCCAATATCAGAGCGCTTGCCCATTCCTGATTGCCAATTATGGTTGCAAAGACAAGAGGAAAGGACACACACTTCACAGTCTGTGATTAAATTGCTTGTAATTTATCATTATGAAAACAAACTGTACACAAGAAAAACAACAAAAAGAGAGCGAGCGAGAGACAGAACAGCTAGAAAGGCGGAAGAGGAAAAATAAAATAGATATGGAGATCCAAAGAGCGTAGCCAACTACAAGCCTGCTAACTCTAGTTCTATCACCGTAGCTACATGTATTGCTATAAGAGGGGGGTGAAACTGAGTAACAGAAGTGACAGACTAAAGTGTGTCTAAACTACTGGAAAATATCAATTAAGATGGACATACTTGCATTTAAATATGGTAAAAGGGCTGTTGGGGGAAAAGAGATTCCAGGTAAATAAATGCAGAGGGTTTCCCTCCCAACTACCTTCTCATCCACCTCCCTCCTCTGCAAAATAACCCCCCCCCCCCGTTTGCTTAAAAGAGGCCACATCCTGTTCTGTTCTTGTGTCCAGAGGAGGGCGACTAAAATGATCAAGGGTCTGGAGAACAAGCCCTATGAGGAGCGGCTTAAGGAGCTGGGCATGTTTAGCCTGAAGAAGAGAAGGCTGAGAGGAGATATGATAGCCATGTATAAATATGTGAGAGGAAGCCACAGGGAGGAGGGAGCAAGCTTGTTTTCTGCTTCCCTGGAGACTAGGACGTGGAACAATGGCTTCTTGTGCTCTTCAACAGGAGAGGCTGAATGGAGACCAGGGCTGGAGAGGTTGGACCACAATCAAGGGGTTGGTCCCTCTTTGTCCAAGCCTGGTTGGACAAAGAGGACGCTCCAAGCTTGGTTGGACGCTCATCCAATTGAATGCACTGTTCTCTTATTTCAGAAAGACCCCTGCCTTTCCTCCAAGGAGTTCAGGAGAGCTTGCATGGTCCCAAAAACATTGTGCAGGTTGAGGAGGCTGAGATGCAACAACCTTGTCCAAAGGCACATAGAATCATAGAATCAAAGAGTTGGAAGAGACCTCATGGGCCATCCAGTCCAACCCACTGCCAAGAAGCAGGAACATTGCACTCAAATCACCCGACAGATGGCCATCCAGCCTCTGCTTAAAAGCTTCCAAAGAAGGAGCCTCCACCACACTCCGGGGCAGAGAGTTCCACTGCTGAACGGCTCTCACAGTCAGGAAATTCTTCCTCATGTTCAGATGGAATCTTATTTCTTGTAGTTTGAAGCCATTGTCCCACTGCATCCTAGTCTCCAGGGAAGCAGAAAACAAGCTTGCTCCCTCCTCCCTGTGGCTTCCTCTCACATTTTTATACATGGCTATCATATATGCTCTTAGACTTCTCTTCTTCAGGCTAAACATGCCCAGCTTCTTAAACCGCTCCTCATAGGGCTTGCTCTCCAGACCCTTGATCATTTTAGTCGCCCTCCTCTGGACACATTCCAGCTTGTCAATATCTCTCTTGAATTGTGGTGCCCAGAATTGGACACAATATTCCAGGTGTGGTCTAACCAGAGCAGAATAGAGGGGTAGCATTACTTCCTTAGATCTAGACACTATACTCCTATTGATGCAGGCCAAAATCCCATTGGCTTTTTTTGCCGCCACATCAAATTGTTGGCTCATGTTTAACTTGTTGTCCATGAGGACTCCAAGATCTTTTTCACACGTACTGCTCTCGAGCCATCTTTGCATTTCGTTTTTCCTGCCAAAGTGGAGTATCTTGCATTTGTCACTGTTAAACTTCATTTTGTTAGTTTTGGCCCATCTCTCTTTGGTACACTTCCTACCACTCCCTGGTCTACCACTCCCTTCCCCGATCTGCGGCACTCCATATGCATTAAGACTATAGCTCCCATAATCGACAACCAGTAACACAGTAGAGTCTCGCTTATCCGACATAAACAGGCCGGCAGAATGTCGGATAAATCAAAATGTCGAATGATATGGAGTCTCCTAGTGTTATCCGTCCAACACGGCGCTAGACACCAATAATAATAATAATAATAATCATCATCATCTTTATTAAATGGAGCCCCCGGTGGTGCAGGACTGAAGACCGACAGGTCACAGGTTCGAATCTGGGGAGAGGCGGATGAGCTCCCTCTACCAGCTCCAGCTCTTTATGCGGGGACATGAGAGAAGCCTCCCACAAGGATGATAAAAACATCAAATCATCCAGGCGTCCCCTGGGCAACGTCCTTGCAGACGGCCAATTCTCTCACACCAGGAGTCACTCCTGACACGACCAAAAAATCATCTTTATACCCCGCCACCATCTCCCTGATGGGGACTCGGAGTGGCTTACATGGGGCCAAGCCCGGACAACATATTACATATTACAACATATTACAACAAAATAAAACCAGAGCATAAACAATAAACATCATCAAATTACATCAAGAAAAAAAATTATAAACACAGTCATAAAATAACATTCCAATAGGCACAGTCACAATAACAATGGGCGGGCCACATGTACAGGACTCTAATGAGATAAAAATAGGAGCAAGTTATCTGCAGGGAACTAGTAAAAACATACATAGTTCTGAAGCTAAACTTCCCATTTGGAGGGCGTGTATTCCAGTGGGAAGAGCGTTGAGGGGTGCAATGGTGTCATATTGTGCACCTACTCGCCAAAGGCGCAGCGGAAGAGCCGGGTTTTAAGGTTCTTTTTTAACGTTTCTAGAGAAGGGGCTTTCCTGATCTCTCCAGGTAATGAGTTCCAAAATCGGGGAGCCACAGAGCAGAAGGCTCTCTCCCTTGTGCCCACAAGACGAGCTTGTGAGATTGGTAGGGGTGAAAGGAGGGCCTCCCCCGAAGATCTAAGGGCCCGGGTTGGTACGTGGAGAGAGATACGGTCACGAGGGTAGACGGGTCCCAAACCGTTTAGGGCTTTGAAGGTGATAACCTGTACCTTGAATTAGGACCGGAAAATAAACGGCAGCCAGTGGAGCTCCTTAAACATGGGAGTTGACCGCTCCCTATAACTAGCCCCAGTTATTAATCTAAACCTAGAATACAAACAACAGGGACTCAAAGGGTTAAGGCAAGACAATGCCCCGGGGCTAGAGTGGCCCAGCAAGAAGTGTCCGGATGTGGAAGAGGTGCGTGGAAATCACAAAGAAGAAAGGAGGACGCTTTCGCTTCCAGTCCTGACACTTTCCCCCTTTCCTCCCTCCTCCTTCTCCTCGTCTTATTGAGAATGGAGAGAGAGTTGGGGAGAAGGGGAAATGGTGGAGGAAAAGGGGAACATCGGATACGAGCGTCAAATAAGACGGAATGTCGGATAAGCGAAGTTCAGATAAGCAAGACTGTACTGTACTTGATTCTACCCACATTGGATTGCTGTGAGTTTTGTGGGCTGTATGGCCGTGCAGAAAATGCTTCTGGAACATGGCGATACAGCCCACAAAACTCACAGTAACCCAGTGATTCCCACCATGAAAGCTTTCTACCCACATTGTTTGTTATGTGCCTTCCAAATTATTTGTGACCCTATAGTGAGGTTGTCTTGGCAAGATGTGTTTAGAGGACACACAAAGCTTCTTCAGGGTTGAGCAGGATTTTGAACTCTGGTCCCCTTGATCCCTAGTTGCACATCTGTAAACAACTGTCACAACCTATAACCAAAGTGGGAATCCAAGGAAAAAATATAATCATGGGGCAGGCCTCAAGCACACTCCATCATATAGAATATTTCTGTATATGGAATATCTCATACACACACACACACACACACACACACACACACACACACACACACAGAGGGTGCCATGGTGGCACAGCGGGTTAAACTGTAGAACTTGCTGATCAGAAGGTCAGAGGTTCGAATCTGTGGGCAGGTTGAGCTCTCGCTATTAACCCCAGCTTCTGCCAACCTAACAGTTTGAAAACATGCAAATGTGAGTAGATCAGTAGGTACAGCTCTGGTGGGAAGGTAAGCGCATTCCATGCAGTCATGCCGGCCACATAACCGTGGAGGTGTCTTCGGACAACACTGGCTCTTTGGCTTAGAAATGGAGATAAGCACCAACCCCCATAGGCAGACATGACTGGACTTAATGTCAGGGAAAAGCCTTTACCATATTATTCATTCATATATATATATTCATACACACACATATACATACATACACACACACACACAAACACACAGAGCTTGGAGGATTAATACACAGACACACACACACACATACATACACACACACAAGCACACTGAGCTTGGAGGATTAAATGATCATAAATTCAATAACCACCACTAAGCAGTCAAACCTATTACTTTAGCATAAAAATGTTGCAACTGTAGCAAAATTAAAAACAAAAATTATACAACTTTCTCATAATCCAAACAATAAGCATTTTCTTCTCAATGATTGTAAACAGATAACCAGCCCACTCTTCCTTGCTGAACTTTTAATGGAGCCATTTTTATATAAGATTTGTTTTGGGTATTGTATTGCACAAAGTGTAGATACCGTACTAGTAAATATAAGTCAATGGAGAGTAAGTCCATTCCAGGAAGTCAGTTGGCAACAAAACCTTAAAGCAGTGGTTCTCAACCTGTGGGTCCTTAGGTGTTTTGGCCTACAACTCCCAGAAATCCCAACCAGTTTACTAGCTGTTGGGATTTCTGAGGGTTGGAAGGCCAAAACATTTGGGGGCCCGCAGGTTGAGAACCACTGCCTTCAAGATATTCAGGTTGCACATTGTTCCTTCCCACCTGACCTTCTAGCTTGGGAACCCCCAGCCACACTGCCTCCATCTTGTCAAGATTTGGCACAAACACAAACCTATATTGCTTGGCTAAAAGCCACCAATGGGCATTCAATTTTGGAAAAAAAAAAAGGAACAACACTCACAATATTATTTTATAGGTCTTGGTCATGTACAGGTGTCTTTTCGACAATAGTGTGTGCGGCAGACATGATTGGTCTACCCCCCTGTTTAAGGAGCTGTGTTGGCTGCCGTTCATTTTCCGGTCCCAATTCAAGGTGCAGGTTCTTACCTACAAAGCCCTAAACGGTTTGGGACCTGCCTACCTTCCTTCTACGAACCTTCACGATCCCTTTGATCTTCCGGAGAGGCCTTTCTGTCGCTCCCATCCCCGTCGCAAGTGCAACTTGTGAGGATGAGGGAGAGGGCCTTCTCTGTGGTGGCCCCTCAGCTCTGGAACTCCCTCCCCGGAGAAATTAGGCAAGCGCCCACCCTGGCAGTCTTCAGGAAGAGCCTAAAAACCTGGCTGTTCCGATGTGCCTTCAATGAATGAACAATAATCCCTGACCTTGACCAAACCCGGCATAAAATGTCCTCGGACGCACTTTATCTCATCCGCGACTGCAAGACACAGGTTCGCAGCTTGCGAGT